AAAAAAAAATATATATATATATATATATATATATTTGCTCTTATGATGATAATATGACCATGAAGAGTGACAGGATGCTCTATATTTGTCTCGACTACACAAGTTCAAGCCAGTTGATTCATGAACAACTTGACATAGTCGTTCAGCTGAATCTGAGCTCAAACAAGCTGGTTTATACATATAATGATCTATGCATCCAAATGCCGAATTCTTTGAAGCTATAGCTCATAAGCCAACTGCATTAGGATATTTGGGCTTAAAACATGGAAAAGGCCATATATCAGTACCCGGGTTTTTCTTGTAACGTGCGGCCCACCACCAACACCAGATGCAATTTAGGCTAGAGACATTTTACGCGGGGGACTGTTATTATCGGACAGGAGGCTCCAAGCTACCAACAAGAATGCTGAGATCAATGTCTCTGTCTTCAAATTTCTTGATGAATGGATGATTCTGGCAGGACAATAACTTGCGTTAGTGAAGAAATGCTGGGGCGTGGGTGAGTAAAAAGTAGGGTGTCTTATGAACTAACCAGTAGATCCAAAGCTGAAGATCTGTCTTTAGGATCCTTCTGTATGCTGCACATTCAACCAATATAATTAATGAGTAATTGTTGAGAAAGAGAAGAAAATCGTGAGCCAACTGTCTCCAAGAAAAGAAGTTATGTATGAATTAAATCCGATATTAAAATCAGATTTTTAGTAAATTTGAATAAAAGTTGATAATATAGGTGGTTGAAAGATTGTTGATCCCATAAAATATGTGGTCAAAATTAGTTGTTGACTTTGACTTAAAATTAATTTCTACCAAATAGGGCTAAATAAAAATATATTGAGATGATTGCAGCTAAACAAAATGTGCACGTCTTTAGCCAAAACAAACTTTCAAGTCTGATGGAATGAATAAGGAAGCAAAGGACACACTGAAATGATAAGATTTTAAAGCAAAGGATAAGGGCTCAAAATAAGTTATCCATAAGATGCTAGAAAATAGCTGAGCGTATAACAGGTAATATTTATGAAACTTAGCTTCCAATATGGCATTGAATAATGCACAGCAGACAATCTTTAGCCAAAAACTAGGGTCAGATTTCCATGCTACTACGCAAGCGATTATCTGACTGAAAAAGACACTACGCAGTATGCGCCCATTCTCTAGCACACACGAAATGTAAAATAGAGTGTTTGAGTACATTAGTTGCCACAACCAATGAAGGACAACAATACCCATACAATCTCATAAAGAATAATACATTCTGTGGGAAATCTATACTAAATTCTAAAATATTTATAGAATCATTGGCATTGTATCTTAACCAATGAAAAGAAAAATCATATGATCACTCAAAACCCAAAATCCTTTATTAGAGCTAACTATATTATATGATTATTGGACTAGCGATTCATTTCCTCAAGTTCTGATCGTTCTAAACAAGCCATCATGTTATGACGCAATTCTTTTTGTTTAACATAGATGTCATTATAAAATCTTATTGAGAGATAGTCATTGTGATCTGCCTGATTTAGAGGCATCCAAGTGAATTGAAACCATGACAAATCATTTCACTATGGTTTGAGCTTATAAATAGAACCACACTTCGGGTTTCCCTCGAGCCTATTTGTTAATAAGTGGTTTCTGTCTGGACTGACCCTCCAAGTAGAAAGGCGGTGGTTGTGAGATTGACTCTCCAATTAAAAAAGATTGTTTCCATAGTGGACATTTCTGAATCAAAACCGGTAAACCAAACCATTAAAAATAGAATTTGCACTTCTCCCCCTTCCCTCCTTTCTTTATGCAACATATACCTGTGGAATATTGTTATAATCTTTGAAGTATCTATAGGAGCCACGGAAACTTTTTATCAGAAGCAAACCGAGAAGTGAAATAACGTCCATTTGGAAAGAATTTCTGAATGGTTTACTTTTTAAATAGATAGAAATTAGCAGAAGATGAGAGGATAATAATTGGGGATCCATTGAAGTATGTTGTTAAAAATAAAGTTTGACAATTTATAAATTTTGCCAAATGGAGGCCAAGTCTGTTGCTGAATATTCCTGCTGCAGTTAGACTTGCATTAACAAGGACTATAGAAGTTGAGAACAACTAGAAACTAACTGTTGCTAGTGTATATACACCCACACCCCCTGCAGCGATAACTTGTACAAATTCTACAAAAACTAGAAATTTCTATCATTGTTTCTATTATTTTATTTCATTTTGATCTTTCAATAATAGACACTACAGTATCATCATTTTAGCTAGATCCAGATTTGGTGAAGATGCAATACAACAATGTGTCACAACTATAGGTCCGAATCATTTCTGTTCTTTCTTAGCCTTTTTTTTAATCATATCTGACCTACTATCTTGTTATGTAATTGAATGATTCACTGTTTCCTTAACATGAAGCTGAAGAAAAAATATTTATCGCACCAAACAAAAGAGCCAGGAAAAGAAAAATGTTCCTACAACCAAAAGAAGGAATCTACTTACATTATGAGAATATGATAGTACCTTGAGCAATAAGAATTTCATTCTGGTTGCGGAAAGCAAATTACTGACAGTGCATCTACTTAAATGGACCTTGCTACTTGAACAGGGCCACATGTGCTCTGTTCAAACGGGGGGCCAAGTGGTGTCCCCCCTATTGGACACGTGGCCCTGTTCAAGCAATATGATCCCTACTTAAAATGTGGGATATGATAATACTTTCACAACAAGATCTCATCCTTACCAGGCGGAGACAAATGAACAGAACTCTGGAGAGAATTGATCTGGTGGGGCAGAAGGTGGCAGACTTCCAACAATTGCTTGCAAAAGCTCATAAAAGCTTGGCCCACTTTGCGGATCTTCAGATTTGGTGTAAGGGAAATGTCCTATGGCACATTCAAGGATAACCATGCCCAGACTCCAGATATCACTCTTATTGTCATAGGTGCTTCCACTGATTCTTTCAGGCTAAAGAAAAATTTTAAAGGGAGAAAAAAAGCATTTAACAATTGCTTCTCTATTTTGGTTGCACGATGGAAATGACACAACTCAAATTGCCAATACAACTACCATGAACTAACAGGAAGATGAATAACCATTATCAAACATTACTAGACATAATTTCATTTTTGATGCAACTGAAGGATGTAAATTTTACTCACAGCCATGTAATTGTATGTTCCAACAAATGTATCCCGTTGGCCCATTGAATTGGCCATCATCGCACTAACACCAAAATCAGTAATTTTTACTTCCCCTTCATGGTTCACTAGCAGGTTTGATGGCTTAATGTCTCTATGGTTTACATGTTTCTCATGATGCAAGTAAACAAGACCTTGTAAAACCTGAAATTAATATATGGTTCATGGTAAGTTGAAATCACTGAGAAAGGAATGCAGCTAGTAATAAACATTATATTACGCTTTGAAGAATTCACGAACCTGTTTACAAACAACAGCAAGATATGGTTCGAGAATTGTCTTAACTTGTCTGATTACATCAACCAAAGACCCACGGTCCATGTACTCTAACACAAAAGATATTGCTCCATTGTGGTAGAATGAGTGGTAGCAAACTACAACATGTGGACACTGTGATGCTTTATTTATTTTCAGCTCCTGAACGATTTGTTTACGGACCTCCTCTTGTATATTCATCTGGATAACCTGTAACAACAACTCATAAACATTCATGATAGTGAAGTCCAAAAACCATCATTGGAGGTAAATTTAGTGCATTGAGCAATAACAAAAAGAAGCAATACTATCTAATATTAAAATATGTCGAGGTGATCTAGGCAATGGCTAAATTCCATAGCTCTAGTAAATCAATTAACATTAAGATCCATAAAATAATAAATATACAAAAATCTGCATTTGCTTAGCATGTTTGTTCTTCCAGTGAACAGTTAAATAACGAAGATTGAATTTAGTGCATTAAGCAATTACAAAAAGAAGCAATACTATCTAATATTAAAATGTGTTGAGGTGATCTAGGCAATGGCTAAATTCCCTAGTTCTAGCAAATCATTTAACATTAAGACCCATAAAATAATAAATATACAAAAATCTGTATTTGCTTAGCATGTTTGTTCTTCCAGTGAACAACTACATAATCGTTCAACCTTTCCAATAATCGTTAAACCTTTCCAAGTTTGATTCTGGTGCTATCCACAATATAATTAAATGGCCAAATGCAACATAATACCTAGAATATCACATCTCTGAATAAATAAAATCTTGAAATGGCTCTTTGAAGTATTCTGGTTAAACGAACAAATGAAAGTTAAAGTACTGAATGCTTGCACGCTGACCTTCAAAGCAAACAAAGTTCCAACCCATTTATGCCGAACAAGTTGAACTACACCACCACTTCCTTTTCCAATGACTTTAATGGTCTCAAGATCTTCCAATGAGAATTGAAGATTGATCTCCTTAGTTTCTGATGGCTGTACCAGTTAAAGAATAAGAGTCTAGTCAGTTCCACTCAAAAAGATAAAAAGTATCATAATCCAGGTTCAGCTATTTTACAAGTTGGAATTGGAAAAATATCAAACAGTGTGGTGTCTTGGTCAAAAATAGCATAGACCACTCAATTCTCATTCAAATATACAGTTCACAAACTGAATAACATGATTAACAATAATAGTTGAATCAATGGACATATGAACCAATCATTTTACTTGATATTTTAGTATTGCTAGGTTTGTTTTCATGTGATGGGATGGAAGTAATGATTCCAGTATACTATGTTGTTTTATGTTGTCATTTGTGAGTTATTGCCTCAAGAATTTCAAATGAAACTCTACCAACAACCTTTTTTCTTGATTTTCTGTGGCATGATAGTAAGATGTGGTAAGATAAAATCCAAAGTAGTCAAAAATAATCGACCAAATGGTCCAAAATAAAAGGATGGTAAGTTTGGAAAGAACTAATGTGAAAATAGCCATATATCTGTCTAGTAGGAGTATGACTTGAACCAATTCCTTTCTGATTGGATAAACAGTGGCAGAATGATGAAGAAAAAAAAGTTCCACGGGGTTTCGCTGGAGCAGGTTTTTCTCCTAGTTTTTTCCCAATACTCCCAGGAGGTGCTGAGTTGAAAGTATGCAATTGAATTAGATCTTGACTCCAAATTAGGAAGAAAAAGTTCTAAGTTCAACTAATATTTTTAAAAAATTCAAAGAATTAAGATTTTTCCTATTCCAAATTAACAAGCAATTACAGGAAACAAAGAATAAATGGGTCCTCCATGATTTACAGCAATTGAAGAAAACAATGTATTGATTAAATATTCACAATAGAAGCAGTGAAATTTGATAAAGTGTGTGCAATCACCCAAAATCCAATTAAATCATTAAAAAAAAACATTAACATAACAGTTCAGGTGTACAGGACACACAAAATTGCCTACACAAAAAGACGAGAGAGGTAAAAAAAAATTGTACAAGGGATTCATTCTCATCTGAAGTTAATCGCAACCCATTCTGGTTTAACAGTAAATCCCCATCGAAAAATGTCCCACTCGCCGTCCTGCATTTGAGAAATCACACATACATCGGGCTGTATATAATAAAACTCTAAAACTGTGTTAATTTAATTACAGGAAGCTGGAAATGCGTGAATCTTGAGCTGTGACAGAGAGCTTGAGTTCCTTGAGTGGTTTCTTGGTCTTCATGATTCTTGATTGGCCTTTCCTTTCACCTTTTGATGGCGTATATGTTGGTTCTACTATTATTAAGCAGAAGAATTTAGGTTTCCAGTAGGTGAGAGAGAGCAGGCGAAAGGGGACAAAAGCCACCGGCCGTCTTGGAAAGGTAATGAATTCAAATGGTGATGACCGCCAAATTTGTGCTTGTAAGAATTTCATTTTACTTTTCGTGTCGATTTGATTGCATGTGTCAAAACGTGTGAAAAGAAAATGTTTTATAAGGAAAAGATTTTCTTAGAATTTGTTTTACTGAGAATTGTAATTAATTGTATTTGATAGGTATAATTTTCCAGTTAGAAAATGTGGAAAATTTGGTATCCGTTTGATTTTCTTTTTCATGGAAATTGTCTATTAAAGTAATTATTTTTTTTACCATTGAGTCTAGAATTGGTTCCACTTACCCAAAAAGAAAAATTTTTAATTTTTTTTAAAAAAATTATCGTACCGAATATTATTCGTTTGACTTTGTTTTGCTTGAAAATTGTCAATAAAAGTGATACATTTTTTACCATTGTATCTAGAATTTTTATTCAATTGCAAAAAATAAAAAAAAATAAAAATAGATCAAGAACCCAGAAAATGAATTCTCACCAAATCAAAAGGAAAGTCAAATTCCTTCAAAAGTAAGAAATTAGGCGCGTGAGGATGAGAGGTTGAAAACTTTTTCCTTGGAAAATCTTGCTAATCAAACACCCATAAAGTTGAAAAATGGAAACTTTCTATTTTCCCTAGAAAAGTTTGCATATCAAACACACCCTTAGGTGAAAAATTATTTGTTCTAGTTATTTAAAAAAAAAAAAAAAACTTATTTTAAAATTTACTATTACTTATAAGTAAATTTTTAAGTGTAGATTTTCTTTCATAATTGCTTTTCTATAATTTTTTGTTAATTATGTATCAATCATGCTCATGCTCAACTGGGGGTTCACAGAATTCCCATCGACAACTTACACATGGGATGGGTAATTTCTTTTTACATTCTGAGTTTTGCTTCAAAAATGGGTAAGTGACAGAGTGAAACGATTAGGCAGTTTAAAGAAAAAAAATTACCCAAACGGGCCCCAACCCTGTCTGACTTACTTTTCCCTTACATTCTTATTGAGGTGGGTCCCATGCGGGTGTAGGGGTTTCCCTTTACAGTAGGCTTAATCCATTATGTATAAAGATAAAAAATTTCCTTTTATTTTCCATTTTTTTATCACAACTTGCAGCATGTTTGGCTTGGTATTACTACTTATGCATATAGGGGTCCTCCTATACAATGAGCTTAATTCATTAATTCAGAACATTTTTTCACGTCCACAAGGTTTTCGATGAAATGCTCCATCTAGTTTAGGGTGATTTTTGGCTCCATCTTCGCACGGCACGCACTTCATCAATTACACTACATTTCCATGTGTTCATAATTGCATTTGCATCAAATCTTTATTACATGGCTCACACAAATGTAGCACACCACACCATGCGAGGCTCCGTCCTCTGTTTTGTCCTCTGTTGTGTCCTTTGTTCCCTCCCCCTTTGTTCACATATTTTCTTGATTATTTGGGGTTTAAGTTATCAATTGGCATGAATGTATCTTTAATGTTCACATTTTGATCTTATTTATAGATACAATGGCACCAAAGGCCCCATCGATAACGGGAAAAAAAAAAAGAAAGGAAAAAGCAACATGAGAGTCTTCCGGCACTCGTACTGTTGGGAATAAAGAGCCTATGCAGACATCATTAACAGAATTCTAGCAGCTCAAACATGTAATGACAAGTTCAATATTCAAGTTAACATAATTAAAGCAGGCTCCAAAAACCCAGAATACAGATTACACAGATTGCTCAGAAATCATAATGCTAAGGTTCAATACACATTAACATATATAACACCCTTT